TGAAAGTGCACTCTCCTGATCAGCAGCCTCAATATTACCTGGTGTGATAGTTAAGGCTGTGTATCGATTGGCTGGGGTGTGGGTTTGAGTGGCTGGGCAGCTGGATGTAGTTATTCCCCATGATGAGATTGTAATCACCTCCATGGTAGAATCTGCTGTGAGCAGCTAAGTAGTTGTGTTTGAGGTGTGACCTGCTTTCAGTATTTAAGGAGAAGCTTTGAGCCAGGTTTCTAGCTTTTTGGCATATATGGATCCTACATTTGGCCAAGTCACCAGTGGCCTACCATGTTGCCTGTGAATCTTATGACTGTTGACTATTCCTGGACTTGAACTAGTAGCCTACCAGGTTGCCTACTAATCTTGGGACTGTGCCATTTTACTTGCAGACCTTGGATTCATCAGCCTCAGCTGCCAGAAGCTGTCTGAGTTAGTGGATACCTCTAGCTCCAATGGGGTTGGAATAAGAGGCAGAACTGAAATCCAAGGTCGCCTTCATCCAGCTTCTAGAGCTAGCACTCTCATAGCCTCCTAAACTGTGAGAATTCCTGTTTGTTAAAGCCATCTACTTGTGGCATGTCTGTTATACCAGCACTAGAGAACGAAGACACCTGGGAACTTGTTAGAAACGCAAAATATCCATCCTGACTCCTGACTTACTGAATCAGAAATTCTGGGGGTGGGACAGCACTCTGTGCTTTCTGATGAAAGTTAAAGTTTGATAACTGCTGTTTTTAGGATAAGGAGCTCTGGGGGGGGGGGTACTGTGGTTAAAGCATTGGGCTATTATCCAAAAGGTTGGCAGTTTGAACCCACCAGCCACTCCATGGGAGAAAGATGAAGCAGGCTGCTTCAATAAAGATGTATAGCCTTAGAAATTGTAGATAGCAGTTCTACTCTGTCTTGCTATAAGTAGGAATCAACTTGATAGCAGTGGGCTGGACTTTAGGATATTTCAAGAATTAGTCTGTTTTCTTTTTCAAACAATGTTGTGGACAAATTAAGTATGTCCCTTTTCTAAACAGCATTTAACCAGAACTGAACAGTTATTCATACTTTTTCTCAAAACCAAACTCACTGCTGTTGAGTTGATTAGACTCATAGTGACCTCTCCTTGGGTTTCCAAGGTGGTATCTCTATGGCAGTAGATTGCCCAATCTTCCTTCCAAGGAGTGGCTGGTGGGTTTGAACCACCAGCCTTCTGATTAGCAGTCAAATGCCTCAGCCACTATGCCACCCAAGGCACTTGACTGCTCACCAGAATGCTGGCAGTTTAAACCCACCAGCCACTCCTTGGAAGGAAGGTTGGGCAATCTACTTCCGTAGTGATACCACCTCAGAAACCCAAGCAGGGGTTGCTATGAGTCAGATCCTACTCGACGGGAGTGAGTTTTTGCAGCATAGGTTAATCATATTAGAAATGTCATAGCCTCTTCACTCATAATGGGCAAAAAATGGTAATCCCTTCAATGTATATGGTCACTTTGGTAAACAAGGCTGCCATAGAGCTGAAATGGAATACATATGCAAACAAGTCTTAGAACTGAGCTGTTATAAGAAGGTTAAATTTGAGGACAGAAAATGTCCACAAGAAAACTCTTGACATCATTTAGCCAAGAGAGGAATGGGAGAAAATACAGGAGTAGGGTAAAGGCTTTTTTAAAAACACCTATTTTAGAGAAGTTTATGTTTGATATAAGATAAAATGCTTTGTAAAGTACTAAGAAGGGAAATTTATGCATTTAATGACTCTGTAAGCCAGAACTTTAAAATTTTATTGTTGTTTTTATTGCCTGGACTTTCAACCCTCTGTGACAGTGGGGGTAACGTGTGGTGAACATATTACCACATCAGTCCATGATTAAGCAGCCAACATTTATTGGATATTTCATATGTGCCTCAAACTGGGTTATAAGAAGAGAAAACTGAAAATATGGTCCCTGCTTTACAAGTTTATAATCTAGTTGAAGAAATGGAACTGAACTCCTGAAACTTTTGGTAGTCAAAAAAAGAAATGACATCAAAAGTGAAGAGGCAGGATATAAATTGTAACTGGAGGAGTAGATGTAGAGAGTACTCACTATCAGCAGTTAGTATTTAAGATAAAAGGCTCCTTGGGGCAGATGGGCATCAAAGGATGCTTAGGATCTGTTGCCGATCATTTGTAGAAATGGCTAGTTATTCACCTCCCTTATTCCTGCCCCTTGGCCATGTAACTCCTGAGTTCCTCACACTGAGGAATAAGAGTGTTTTTCTACCTCTGGAATCTGAGCTGGTCTGGTGATGGCAGAGATGGTGTAGAGTTCTGAGCTTTGTGTGTTTCTGGCCACTTTCTTGGAACTTGTCCATCTGGCATGAATAAGCTCTGCTGGTGCAAGAGCTAAACACGTGGCTACTAATAGAAAGGTTGGCAGTTCGAACCAGTAGCTCTGTGGGAGAAAAGAGCTGGAGATCTGGTTCTGTAAAGATTACAGCCTAGGAAACCCTTTGGGACAGTTCTATCCTGTTAAATATCGGGTCACTATAAGTCGGAATTGACTTGATGGCAAATAACAACAGCAAGTCTACTGGAGGATAAGAGATCAAGTGAAGCGAGATGAGCTCTCTCAGCTAAAGTTGAGACTAGCCAGGCTCAGAAAAATTTCGTAGCTGAGCCCAATTCAAATCTCCAAACTGCAGAATCATGGGCTCAATTAATGGTTACTGTTTTAGGCCAATACATTTGGAGTAGTTTATTATATAGCAATAGATACAATTATACGAAGTCCGAAAAGATGGAAGAGGGAAAAAAAAAATTCTAGGCTAGAGTTGTATCCAGGAGCTCTGGTGGCATAGTGCCTAAGGTATTTGACTACTAACCAGAAGGCTGGCGGTTCAAACCTACCACCCACTCCTTGGAAGGAAGGTTGGGCAATCTACTTCCATAGCGATACTGCCTCGGAAACCCAAGGAGGGGTCGCTATGAGTTGGGTTCGACTTGATGGCACATAACAACAACAGAGTTGTATCCCTCAAAAGTTCAAGAGACAGAAATGTGTGAAGTTAGATCAAAGAAAAGGGAAGGAAACTATAGGATTGGATGTCTGAACTATTTTCTTTCAATAAATAGCTAGGAGCACCAGGGTTCAAAAGAACATATGCTGAAGGCCAGACCTGGACTGCTATGTTGCTGCATCATGGTATTCTCTGGAAACACTCCATGAGGGTACAAGGAATAAGAGTCTACACATGTTGAGATATCATGTGGGCATCAGGCCCCACCACTCCAAGCTAGATTTTGAGAGAATGAGAGACTGTCCTCTACTAACTACATCATGCTACATAAAAAAAGTTTTGTGACTTATAATCTGCTTTTATTATTTATATTAACAAATAATAATAATAATAAACCCTGTGTGACATACTTTCTTTTTCACAAACTGCTAGAAGCAACTTGTAGAATCCCAGAAGAAAAGATATTAATGGAGTTCTACTGCTTTGAATCTTAAATGTTCACGTTCTGGACTTATTGCACAATGAACAACTTTTGCTCTGTTTTATTGAGTCATTAAACATATATTTTCACCATCAAAAGCATAAGAGGAAACACTTATCTTTAAATTTTAAAATGTGTTCTCCTTCTGTTGAATGTGCTTGCTTAAAAAGAACAACCCATTGAAGCTAATGGTTTCTTGCTTTAGAAGCAGACTCCTTAAGTTTGGGTAGGGGTTCAGGGAGAAATTCAAATGAAAACTACAACTCCTTATGTCTGGGATCCTTTGATCCAGTTGCCCCAGAAGCTTCTTTTGTGAAAAAATGATTAAGTGCCATAAGCTTTATACAAAATAGTCTTATTTAGCAACTATTTTATTCATTTTTACTCATTTTATTTATTCAAACAGCAGTTCCAGCCATATTACAAATCACGGTGAACCAGGAATTTCAGTAGAAGAAAAGGCAGGGGTGATCAAGACGGAAGTATTATACAAGAAGGGTGTGAAAGAGGTGTAATACCTAAAGTGCACACTGCTTGTGTGAGCCTTTAAAGTTGTTTTAATTGCTGTTCGTCTCCTGTGAACATGTTGCTCCTTTCTGACTTTCAAGAAACCAGTTCACCCAAAACTTTTTCGAACTGAGGACCCGCATCTCCCGTGTCCCATTCTGCCTTCTCAGCCTGCCACCCACCTGCGTATGGGCATCCTGCGCCGATTAACAGGTTCCTGATTACTGAAGCGTCACCTCTTACTTCCCAGTAAATCTCCGCAGCCCACTCGGACTGCAGCCTGTTTGCCGCCGGTCCTCCCATTGCATCAATCAGGGCGACAGAGAGGGAGGAGGCGAGCAGGGAAGGGAAGAATCAGGAGGACAATCTCGCCGGCCCGGCTCGGAAATCAGGATGGGGAGAGGCAGCACCGGGCGAGTTTGCACCACAGATAAACAGGCTGGAGAGGCGCAGGGCGCTGCCGCCGCCGCCGCCGCCGCCGCCACCGCCACCGCCACCGCCGCCGCGGCCACCCAGCGATTTCCAGGCACGCAACTCCGCCTCCAGGGCTCTCTCCCTCTCACTCTCGCCGAGCCGCTCGCTCGCAGCCCCAGCAGCCGCCGCAGCATCACTTCACACAAAGGACTGTTACCCGCTGAGCAGCTCCTCCACCTCCACGTCCTCCTCCGGTGACAGCAGCCCCGACAGCAGGGTTCTGGTGCGGCGGCGGCGCCGAAAGAACCTGTCACTCTCTGCAACCGAGGCGGTGGCAGCAGCTTTTTTTTTTTTTTTTTTTTTTTTCTTTTTCTCTCCTTTTTTACCTCTTCGCTTTCCTGTGGTTCCACCCACCTCTTCCCTCCCTCTTCCTCCTCCTCCCGTAAACAACTCTTCTATACCCTTACAAATAAATAAATAAAAGGAGGAGGGTAAAGGGGGAGGAGGAGTCGCGCTGGGGAGGGGGTGGGGGAGGAAAAGGGAGACAGCGCAAGAGAGCGAGGCAGAGTCCGAACAGACAGTCCAGAGCCCGCACGCACCTCGCACCATGAGATGGCGACGCGCCCCGCACCGCTCCGGGAGTGCCGGCCCTCGGGTCCCGCGCCTCGGCCCCCTCGCGCGCTCGCAGCCGCCGCTGCTGCCGCTGCTGCTACTGTGGACTGCGGCCCTGGCGCCGGGGGCGGCCGCCGGCGACGAAGTGCCTCCCGCGGGGGCCTCGGTGTGCTACTCGTCCCCGCCCAGCGTGGGCTCGGTGCAGGAGCTGGCTCAGCGCGCCGCGGTGGTGATCGAGGGAAAGGTGCACCCGCCGCGGCGGCAGCAGGGGGCACTCGAAAGGAAGGCGGCGGCGGGCGAGGCAGGGGCGTGGGGAGACGAGCGTGAACCTCCAGCCGCGGGTCCAGGAGTGCTAGGGCCGCCCGGTGAGGACCCACTGCCCATCGCCAACAGGACTGTGTCCTCCTGGCCCACAGTCCTAGCGCCCCGCGTCGGCGATCCCGGGGAAGAGGCGCCTTATCTGGTGAAGGTGCACCAGGTGTGGGCGGTGAAAGCCGGGGGCTTAAAGAAGGACTCGCTACTCACGGTGCGCCTGGGGACCTGGGGCCATCCCCCTTACCCCTCCTGCGGGAGGCTCAAGGAAGACAGCAGGTACATCTTCTTCATGGAGCCTGATACCAACAACAGTAACCGCACGCCAGCCGCGTTCAGAGCGTCTTTTCCCCCTCTGGAGACCGGCCGGAATCTCAAGAAGGAGGTCAGCAGGGTGCTGTGCAAGCGGTGTGGTAAGTTCCTCACCCCTGGGGGCATGCTTCGACCGGGCAAGGAGGGTGCGAGCCCGGCATGGCTGCGCACTCACCCGGGGCGGCGGGCGCCGCGAGTTCGACGGCCAAGGAACGGACGACAGACGAGGTAGTTTAGTTTTGGGGTTGTAGATTCCAAGTGATCCTCAGAAGGAGGCTTCGCGGATTCCACAGGGAGCGACTTCTCCAGTTTTCAGCTTCTTAGGGTTTTGCCATTGGTGAAAACCCAAGTTTGGTCTTTATGTGGGGCGCCTGAAACTTTTTAATCCTTTGGGATTTAGTTCAAGTAGAGTTGATTGTGCGGGATGCTTTCTTGCCTGGGAATTATTCGATTTGACTTTGGTTACAGGCTGTTGATTATGGGTCGCCTTGTGGGAATTTTTCTTTGAAGGGGGAAGGTTTTTTTTTTTACACCTGCCTTTCACTTAGAGCCCTGAGTGCGGAGATGGTCAGGGGTTTGTGTCTGTGGAGAGACACGCAAGAAAAAGACTGCGCTGAGGTTTCTCTAGATGTAGAAGAGTTTTTGTTGAACTCACTGTCCAGCAGATGATAGATAGATGCAGTTTTTACCTTATGAATATGTGTGAAAAGTAGTTATTTTATTTATTTATTTATTTATTTATGTTCGGTGAAATCATCTCAAGACTTTCTGTTTTCCACAATATTTTGGTTTGGAGTATGCTTTGTCACGTCAGTGAATCAGAACAGATGAACGTAATTATGGAGTTCCAGATACAGGCCCTCAAGAAAATTTTGAGAAGAGAAGTTTAACAGTCGATTTCCCAGATCTTTTCCCATTTTGTCATTGAGAAGTGTTCTTTGCAGGGCTCCTTAATATTATCAGGTGTGAGAAATTAGGTGATGCTCTAATTACACTTTTGAGGTAGCAGTACATTTATGCCATTCATAAAATAGTTCCTAGTATCTAAGTGTCTGTATAATTTCCTTATTATCATATAATCACTAAAACATAGCAGGGTTTCTTCTCAACCCATAAATTAACATGATTACACACCACAAATTCTAACATGCATAATAGCTCTCCCCCCTCCACTTTATGTATCTGTCTAATAGATGGTTGGGTCAATTGGATTTTTACAAAACTCAGCACCATGCCATGTTCAGTTTGCCTGCGATATAAAGTGTGTCAATTTTTTTTTAAAAATTTGTATCTAGTGATAGCCAATTATTTAAATTTCTGGTTGGCATTTGAGGTGCTTATATCCTACAGTTAATGGATACTTAACTATTTGGTTTTAATGTCAGGAAAGAGCAGTGTGTAGCCACCATCCCCTAATTTTCACAAAGCAATTTGTGCGCCAGAGACCTATCAAGATTGCACCACTATGTGGACAGAAGCTGTTCTCAGAAAGTGGTGCTGAAGAATGCTGAGTGACGTTGGGATTCCCCAGGACTGGCTGATAGATGTCACTGTAAAACATGAGAAATACTCTGCTGGGAGCTGTCTTATTAGTGAAAATAAAAGCTCAATAACATTATACTGCAGTATGTGTTATTGGGTTACAGAATCTGAAACAAAAACATTTAAATCATAATCCAGTTTTCACATGTTTTATTATATGTAATTCAGGAAGGATTTTGCTTTTACTCCAAACCATATGACTTGTGAATCCTTTATTATATACACTGTGGGAAGTTGATGTACAGGGGATCACAGTTGGCAATGATGCTAGGTTTGAGGGTGTGTTGCTAGATTAGTAATGGCATTAGTTGTGTTTTTTAACTAGAAATAAATGTCAGGCTTCAGTGGTAAATTTCTCATAAGCATCTAGAGGATATTTAGAAATAGAAAATGCATGTTGTCTAGAGAAATACTGTTCTGTTTTTGTGCTTTTAAGGAGAAGCTTTCATGAAGGTAGTTAGTATTGCCCTTTTCTTTACCAACCAAAGGAAAACACATACTTGTAAGTTGTTGCATGCTAAACAGAGCAGCTTTTTAAATGAATTGGAAATCTCCCTGTATGTAATTGAGTAGATTAAGAAATCATGAAGTTACCTGCTCTGGGTTTGTGGCATTATCATGTATGTTTGTATTGTGTATTTTAGTGGTAGGTTCTTGCATGAAAACTAACAGCTTTAGCCAAGGACTAACAGAAATCATGCTGAAAGTTTCTCTTGCATGTTTATGAATATGGTAGTTATTGCAATGTTGGAGGAAAAAAGCAAATTAAAAATTATGCAAATCCATATATGGACCATAAGGTGTAATAATGTGTGCATGTGTACAAACTTGTAAATCCACCCAGTTGTTTACTCTTCGTTAACAGTGTCACGTAAAATCTATCAGGCAAAAGAACGCAAATAATTGGAAAAATTATGTAGAGAACAGGGGGTAATTTGTCCGGGTTTAGCTGCTTCTTTGTACTTCTGGTAAGAAGATTTCAAGGAGAGTGATGGAAAAGAGGGTCCTTATCTAATGACATGAGCTGCCCTGGGGGTGTGATGGCTGTGTTCCGGCTTGAGCTGTGATGCTAGGGCTGGAGAGGTGAATATAGCAAAGTCATTTTATGATATTATACCCAGGGGCACAGTTCTCAGCTCTCATACTTTCAGCTGCAGGGTTGTTTCCTACAAGTTGCTAAGTAGTGTAGAAACTACACATGCAACAGATTAGCCTTAGGGTTGATCTAATAGAAAGAAGTCTTCCCTGCATTATTTTTTTTTTCCTCCATTTTCCTCTATCTAAGAGAATCTCCTGGATAGTGTCTATAAAAAAGAAATAAAAAGCTGTTCTCTGAAAAATGGACCTTTGGAACAGAAACAGCTTAATCTGTTTTTTGAAGACAAAATAGGATTTCATAGCTGATTTCATTTATATTTGTATTTTGTGTAAATCATACTTCCTTTACAGTTATTTAAATTCTTCACAGTCTTTGCTTTTTCTCTTGCTTACTGAACAACCTCAGAAATATTTCTAGACTTCCTGTTCATCAGAATGCAAAATAATTTGCTGTTCAATTAAATTTCTATTATTCAAACAAATCATTGTTTGATTCGCTACACTTTTAGTGTTCAGAGCATTGTAGTTATATTAGGCAGAAACTAATTTCCAAGAAATAGTAAAAATACTGTTGCTGAATGACACTGGTAATTGGGCCATGCAAAATTTGTACATCAGTTGTGTCCTTACAAGCCAGTCTAAGTATTTGGTATATTATAAGATATGGTAATGAAGATACATGTATACATTGATCATCTAAATATGTTATCAAATATTTAGGATAAATGGAACTCACTCTTTATAATATCCTCAATACCTGCTTAATAATGTATGCTGACCTTATGGTGTTATGAAAATGAAAAAAATGCTGTAGGGATTTTTTCAGTTAACGTTGAAGAAAATTATTAATAAAAGCTATATTAAGGAAGGAGGAATAGGAACAGATATAGCTTGACTGCTTGTATTTCATAAATACACATGTAAATTTAATTTCCCAAGTGTTTGTGACTGCTCTCTTTAAACGTTATAAATCTTGCTGTCAAAAATTTATACTGTGTTTTAAAAGACTTCTTTCTGTTGAGCAGAGAAACTGTATATTTGGTATTTATATTTAGGTTAAAAAAATGGAACTAAGCTAGGTCATTTGGGAAGATAACACCTTAAAATAATAATAATAAAAGATGTTTAAAAATTAATTTAAATATCTGAGTTAAGATAGAATGTTTTACTAGCACCAGGGGATGGTTCACAGAAGGTCTAGGGAGTCTATAAATCCTCTGAACCTAGAGAAAGTTTTACCATATGACTAAATGTGTTAGGAAAGTCCGGGAAGCTTAACCAACACTGAGGATCAAAACATGAGCTGTGCTTCCACTCTGTATATAGCAAACCAGAGCACAATATATGATTGGGCAGGTTATTGTCTTTGCCAAATATAATCTCTTCATTGTTCAGAAATCGTTGCTACAATACCTATTTTCTTCCTAATTATGAACATAATATTTTTAAATTTAATGACAATTTATGAACTGGCCAGGTGTCTGAAGTTCCTTAGTATTTAGAAATAATTAGATTTGTCATTCATGTGTTCATTTTTGATATGGTAAATGATATGAAAAAATATCTCCATAAATAGCTCTTATAGAATGGATATTTGGTTAGCTTTATACAAATCAAGGTAATGAGGGAAACAAAAAATATACAGTTATGGCTGTTAGTGACTCAAGCAATTTGTTACTAAAAGTAGCACAGATGGTAACTTAAACATGTGTTAGTCAAAGTTTTCATAAGAAAGGGAAAAATGATTTTTAATATTCTAATTTTTCAATAATAGAAGTTATTTTTGTGGACAGTTTTAATCAATATTGGACTACTCAAATTTGTGCATGTGTATGTTACTTCCTGCTCTTATGACATCATAAAAGGTACCTTAAAATTCAAATAATATTGTGAAAGAATGTCTAGTTTATCTCTATACCCTCGAAATCAGTCACTTTATAATAATACTTGAATAATTGCTTAGTGATACATCCTGTCATAATTTTAAAGAGGAAGTTGAAATATTTGAGAATTTCTAGAAAAAGGAGTTGTACTGAATTGAAGAACTGTGCTAGTTAAGAGACTGTGTTTCATATTGTCTGAGTTGTTAAGTGCTCTGATTTGGTCTTAGGCACTTGAGACAAATCTGTTTCTGAAGGCTTGCATTCTGGATTTCCATCCTCAAATGGTCTGTGCAGATTGAAGTAGATGGAATAAAATACATTTTGATGAATTTTAAGGCTAGAAATGGGTTGACACATCTCTGCTTTGTGTAGATCCAATTGTTAGAAAATAAACCACCCAAATATAAATTGGTCATCCTGGCATGCTAGAGAGAGATGTATAAATGGTAATTTACCTTATGCTTTGGATTTCTTCAAGAGACTCAGGGTGTTTTATACCTTGTTTTTCATTATAAAAACAAAAACATAAACAAGAAACTTAGTTTACCCACAGCTTGAATGAAATAGTCCTACCACTTTGTAACTTAGTCTTCATATGTGCTTTCCCCTCAATTCTCTTTCCTTTAGGAAGACACTGTGAGGGAATCTTTTAGGTAAGCAGCTAGGCCCATGTGTAAATCTTAGTCTGACAGAAGATGAAATATAGGAT